TTTAGAGGTTAAAAGTTTTCCATTTCTTTAGGATTTCTTGTAATCTCATGCTATATGATAGGTACTCATTCCCCTAAGCTAGTGATAAAAGTGAACACGCTTCTTAAATGTTAGTGTTAAACACTGTTGATAATATTTACACAAATCAGGCATTCAACGTTTAACTTTTATTTGTTAAATGTTGTTCAAAGGAAAATCGTTCAAGACAATTTTCTCTTGGCTTTAGTATAATACCCAACTTTGGTTGAACTGCAAGACTAATTTTTATGTATGTGAGGTTTGATATTTAAAAAGTTAATATAAATCGTCTTACTTTAATTTCGATGTTGAAACAATATTTTATTGTGAAAAAGTACACCCTATTAAATTTCAAAATAACATGGTTATGATATTAAAATGACATTGTGCCTATTTTGTCATGGTCAAGTTATGCTGAATTGTCTTTATGTTTCAAATAATTGACTGAAAAAAGGTTATTGACCTACAGCTGATATTTTGAAATGTTAAGGATAAAATATAAGTATGCCTAAAATATAAAAAGACTGTCCCAAACTTTTTATAAATTGAACATTTTGGGTAATTTCCAATGGCATTGATTTATCTTCATAAATGGAAAGTACATAATATTTTCATAATATAAATTGAAAGGAATTATGGCAAGATTTAAATTTATTTGACTTTCACCTGTTCACTCAATACACTGATCATAATTAAAGCCTGGGATGGGCATTATGCATTATGTCAAAAATATCTATTACATACTGTTTAATACTGTTTACATTCTATTAGTGTCAATTAAATGTACAAATATTTTTATAATTTTGTAATAAATTATTATGCACTTCAGAGTCCATCTAAGCTCTTGATATTTATATAATTTTTGTTCTTAAAATGATTGCCTTTTTATCTTGATGGTAATTATTAATAAACTTTGTTGAATTCTGTCTGGATTATTTTATTAACAATAAACATAATAAGGCACAAAAAAACACTAACTTTATAATGTTTAAATAAAATGATGCAAATACTTTGGCAATGTTCTAAGGTTTCACTTTGTTCAAAACTTAAATTACCATATTATTAGGCTATAATTTTTTTCAGCAGCTACTTAATTTGATAATCAAAAATGTCTTGGCTGAAAATGAGCAAATGCTTGGCTGAAAATCAGCAAATGCTTTCTGTATTGCAGATAGATTAATGAATGTGGCTTTCAATTAAAATAAAATGTAAATACATGTGTATTATTATAATCAATGTTTATTTAAGTCTATTAATTGGTTGAATTGACTAATAACCAATACAGAATCAAACAACTTTTAACTGACAGTATAGCTGGATGCTGCAAACTGACCAGTGAAAGAATATTTTGTGTAATTGCTGATAACTCTGGCAGTAGAATTTATGTCCAACAAAAAGCTTAAACCATTATTCTTGGAGTTTGGGAATTTAGCATGTTTTTGGCCAATAAAGATATTTTATTAGTAAATATTCCATGAAATCTATTAATTGTTTCAAATCTTTTTACAGCTCAGTTAAGTATATTAGTATATGTACCTATTTTAAATAACCGCTTCACACAGTTGTAAGTAAGACAGTCCAGGACTGACCAGGATGGGTGGTGTGAAATGCTGCAAAATTGAAAAATATAGCTCGAACCTTTGTTCAATTGTGGCAACCTATGTACAATTGTGGGGTAAAAAAATAGGACAATTTCTAACACGTTAATATTGCATGCTATTCTAATGACAATAGCTGCTAAGCATACTAAAATGTAATGCCAGTGTTCTGCCTTGTCGAAGATATGATGAATTAAATTGTTGCTAGTTTTCTTTACGCATGGAGCGTAAGTGTTTTACATCATGCGATTTAACCTGATTAATGTAACATTATTAAACTTGTTGGTTGAATTGGAAGGATTCGAACCCATGGAGTGCAATTGGAAATATCTGCTCTCAGAGTCATGCAGGTCTCACGATCTTGATGGTCACTATTGTATTGGGCATATGTTTTCGGCGCGTTGGTTGGTGGCTGCCCCCGGGGACCCTCGCCCACTTTGCGGCCCTCCAACCTTTCAGAACCATAATATTGAAAATTGGTGAAAAAACGTTGGGGTTATGGAGTTCAATTATTATTAAGATGAGTGCTGAAAAATGTGCAGCGAGTTGCATACCTTTACTAAATATGTATATATAAATCAATTTTTTATTTTTTGTGGGAAATGAAGGTAATTGAATTAAAAGCATATACCAAATATTAAAACATGTTTCAAATGAAAAATACTGCAGTTTACATGGTTTTGGGGGGTGGGAGGGTTGTGGGGTGGGTGGCTGATCAGCGCGCCGAACACCTATGGCATAGAGTGGTTCAGGAAATGTATATTTGAAAAGTTGATGTGTTGATGCATAATTTATAGTTCAGTTGATTGAATGCACTTATTGTATATATATGTATCTAGCACATATTTGAAGCAGTTTGAACGTTATTGCTAAATTAATATCTCGAAAAAAATGCACTGTCAAATGTATAGACATTTAGCTAGCACATATTTGGAGCAGTTTGAATGCTTTTGCTAAATTCATGTCAAGAGAAATGGCACTGAACTCGAGATCTTGATGGTTACTACCCAAATTATTGTGTTTCAGATAGTGTCATATTTGATTTATGAGCGCTAGTATATGCATATTTGTTGGAATGTTGCTTTATTTGCTAAGTTGAATTACCTACATGGCAGTGTTGTATTATAAATCATAGAATGGCTGGGCACGACTAATTTTTTTTTTAAGTATTAAATTCGCCGGAGCCAATAATAGTATGATATTGGCGAAGCCAATATTATATGTTATTGGCGGAGCCTTCGACTGGAAAACGGGAAATCTCCCGTTCACCATCCGAAGTCTAGTGGCGGCCGGCGAATAGACATTTTGTGATACTGGCGATACTGGTTTCTGCTTCCCAGAACCAATTTCGCGCAACAGTGTCAATGCTGTGTTGTTGCTCATATACATTTGTGAAAATTGACTATTTTGTGAATGAAGAATTGAAAGACTAGTATTGCTTTGATCAATTATTTTCTAGAACATACTGTTCCAAAAAGCTATACAGTTTGTTCCATTTGCTTGTTTTGATTTTGTGTCATTTGTTTGCTTTGCTATGGATGCCCTAACAGGGTTTTGTATGCCCGGTATCCAAACCTTTTGGCTTTTATTAATGGAGTCGTGCCCATAAAATGCCGAAGATAAACTAAGACATTACTCAGTGAGATAAATTACATATGTCACTATGTATGACTATAAAATAAAATTAGTTAAAGTATGAAATTGTTTTGTTGTTGTCCCAAATAATGATGACTATTTCTATAGAATAGTCTCTGTTATTTGGGGAACAACTTATACCCTGCCCTGGTTATGACGTAGGTACTGTATCTACGTCATATCCTTTTAACGCTGGCGTCGAATATTGTAACAAGGAAGAAATGAATTGTTGAAAAAACCCACCCGCCCTCCTCGGTCAATTATGAGTGTGAAGTGTCAAAGATTTGAGCTTAAATTTAATACTAGTGTCATGCTTGTTTTGTTGTTTCTGTCCTCTTTTGATATGTTTTCAGATTAGCCAACATAAGCGACGTGTTTCAAGACAGCTAGCCCTACTAAATACCACGGAAGAGGTATCTTTTAGGAAAACTGCTTGGGCCAAAACCACCAGCAGAGAGAATTCGACAACGGTGCGACTCCAGATATGTGTTCTATGAACTTTCAAATACTAGATTTCACATGTTGTGTCTGCTAAATTTGCATTTTGCGGCCGGCGAATAGACATTTTGTGATACTGGCGATACTGGTTTCTGCTTCCCAGAACCAATTTCGCGCAACAGTGTCAATGCTGTGTTGTTGCTCATATACATTTGTGAAAATTGACTATTTTGTGAATGAAGAATTGAAAGACTAGTATTGCTTTGATCAATTATTTTCTAGAACATACTGTTCCAAAAAGCTATACAGTTTGTTCCATTTGCTTGTTTTGATTTTGTGTCATTTGTTTGCTTTGCTATGGATGCCCTAACAGGGTTTTGTATGCCCGGTATCCAAACCTTTTGGCTTTTATTAATGGAGTCGTGCCCATAAAATGCCGAAGATAAACTAAGACATTACTCAGTGAGATAAATTACATATGTCACTATGTATGACTATAAAATAAAATTAGTTAAAGTATGAAATTGTTTTGTTGTTGTCCCAAATAATTTAAATACAGAGTTAGAGGTATTGAGTGGGATCCTTATTGATTAAGTATTTTATCGTCGACAAATGTAATTTTCCACGTTTTTTACATCGTTTTTTTTATCTCACAATTATATGAAACGATTTTGTTTAATTTCATATAATTATTTATTTAACCTTTAGAAAGGCTGAAGGCCACTTTAAAGTTTATCCCTATGAATATACAATGCACAATGCATTTATTTTAGTTCGATTAAAATTCAAAGCGTGCATGTCATCACATGAGCCAAACAATTTCAAGAAAATCAACTTTTAAGAGAAGTAAAAATATTCACAATCTCATTGAAGATATACATGTAATATGCCACGAAGGACAGATTTTGCAATATTTATCATCAGGTTAAATAGTCTACTGCGTGACTAACGCTGTAAACGCTATGTTGGCATATTTTTTACCTTTACTTGATAATTCACTTGGATTGAACGTGCCGTTTGCAATGTGTAAATTACTTTGAAATTATTTGTTCATTTAATAACCTATTATTCTTTAATCAATTTTCAAACTTTTCATGAAAATTGGCATGAATCATAGTGTATCTGAAGGCTTGCTGCTTTATACTTATATTCTAATTGAACCATTTTCATGTCCTCTTCGTAGACACAACCACTGCTCGAACCTGAACTACTTTAGTCTTTAACCACAAAGCCGCTCCCCAGAATTCTCCATGTCCATGATTATTTTGAGGTTTGTATTGATGAGGAAAAGATAACTACAAATGATTGCAATGAGAAAAAAGTTTATTGAAAAAGAAAATAGGTATTATTAAAGTATACAAACAACAGTTATAGACACACATAATATGGAAAAATACATTATTTATATGACAGTCCAGGTACGGCAATTTAAAGGAAACTCTACTGTGGTTCACCGATAAACGCGCAATTTGCTTTGATTTTTTTATGCTATGACTTATATAGTGAAACTATATAAAAATATTTTTCTAATTTAAGTAACTGTCACATTTGTATATAAAATAAACAACAAAAACAACAACTATTACATATATCAACAATATGTAGCTCATACAAGTACCAAATTTACAATATTTGGATGTCACATACATAGGTAAAAAGTTTGGTTTCTTCAAAAAATGTCTTATTCTTAACTGAATGCATTAACTTTAATGTTCAATTATATGTTTTTTTAACATTTGCTGTACATATTCAACACATTTTCTTGGATGTTTGGAAATTGTTGAAGAAGAACAATTATATACATATATAACACTTCACTTAATCACAACATACAGGATTTTTAATCAATCATCAAACATTTAGAACACTTGGAACATGTATGAACCTCTTGGAGAGCAGAGACATGTTTTTCAGTGTTGTTCGGATTTTCTTTCTGTTTTCTACTTGTTTGTCTTTTCAGGTAAAAAGAGTTAAAGTAAAAGAATAAGTAAAAGATAAGTTCATTTTCAATGTCCGTTTGCGTTTCCATGGTTTTCATTTCCGACCGGCGAGACACCCGACACATCCTTTAATAATTTGCTGCCACGTCTTTTATTTATTTATTTTTGTTGCAATTAATAGTTTTTTACCCACATATTTGCGGGGTTTTTTTTCGATTCTTTTTTTAATGTTTTACACATATTGTTGTTTTGTTCTAATAGTCTTATGTAATTTAAGGATACCCTTACAATGAATTTAATTTCATAATTATTTGATTGACTTTATCACTGTGTATATGTCACGCCAGTTCGCTCTCATCTATTCCTGAAATAAAGATGACACCAAAATTAAAGTTACGAGTATATCAAGTAGATGAATTACAAAGTTTGATGACATTCTTGTTTTTAAATAGTACATTTTTATAGCCTTTCGAGCCACTGTTTTAATTGTACATCTTTATCTATAAAAGCAAAGAATTACCCATTACCTATTATGCCCAAGAAACATTTTTATTTTTATTTCCCAAAAGCTTTATATTTTGGTCATTATTATATTTTCAAAAAAATACTAATTGGCCATTTACCTAAACCACCTTTTGCTTCTGTTGCCTTTTGGCAATTGGTACATTAATAGTGATTTAGTATTTTGGTGGTCAATAAACTACTTTGTTTACATTTCGCTACTTTTATGATATATAATTTCAAATTCAGTGCTACTTTCTTCAGATGAAATGCATTTAACATGATCAGAAACGATTATTTAAACTTTATAAATTCCATGTTTTTCCTTTCTAAAGAATGATTTTTTTTTCGTTTCTGATGCATAATGGGCCTTTAAATATCCCAACAATACAAGTACTATATAAATTATTAAATGAAGTTAAAAATTATAATATAATATTATATATTATGCGGATTTTAATTAAGATCTACCTTGTCCAGAAGTTGTGACAGAATTGTCCGCAGGGCTAACATTTTCTGATTAATTGGTTGCTCATTTCTTCTCGCGGCTGCATTTCTTGAAGCGGCCGTGTTTCTTGCTCGGAACAGGTTGGCTGCTTTGCCCGCAACAGCCTTTCTCTGTACTTGATTGTCAACATCTACTGTTTTGTCCATGTCCGATTGACTGTTTTCGGAATCTTCCCCATCCTCCTCCTCAAACTGTGCACACTCCCTCTCTGCCATCTCCTCAATTAACTGTGCCATTTCCCCAACTTTTTCCGAAGCTTTATAAGAATCAGATTTAGACATATATGATTAAGATAATCAAGGTTGTTTTGTTACAAAAGTACAATGTTTCAATGTCAAATGACATTCTATTAAAGGGAAGATTCATTCACATTTTTGGATAATTGGTATGTCTTGCATTTTTACTGTTTTGAGTACCCGAACCTTTTAAATTAAAAGGAAACATTTAAGGGTCATTGTGCTTTAAAATTGGTCTGTACGCCAAAAAAGAAAACAATACTTACTTTTGCCAGATAATGAATTCAGTGCAGTATGCATTTTTTCAAAAGTCTCCTCCAGTTCACCGCCTGAAAGTAATAAATAAAAAAACAACAACTAAAATTATAACTTATGCCACAACACCAGTCACTTCAATTTTACAGTGACATACATTTTTTCTCACATCTCATTAGAAAGAATAACTTTATTTGTTGAAACTCACACCAAACTTAACATAGAAACCCAAAGCATTCTGAATGTATATGGAGCGCGCCATTTTGTTCTATGGACAGCGACATTTTGATCAATCTCCCGCGCAGTGATCTCCCCTTACGGGCCGTGGAAGTTTTACTTGAGTTTAGAAATTAACAGTTTCTAGCAGCAGACGATAGAAAACAGTATAACTGTGATCATTGAACAAAAGAAGCGAAGTTTAGTCGCAAACAAAAAAGAGGCAAATACATGTATGTTATTCCGCATCATACATTGTATATGAACTATAATAATAAAATGTAATTTAAGCGTGTTTTTTGTTTTTTATTATTGCTTCGTTTTTTTTCTATAAATACATAGTATTCCCTCCTTTAAAATAGGACGAGTCCATTCAGACGAGTTCATTTGCTGATTGCGTTCAGCATCGTATGGTCTTTGTCAGTTATAATCCTTTAAATGTCACAAGAAACTAAGAAACTACATAAAATTTACCAGATACAGCTTAACAATCGCAATGTATTGTTGATTATAAGGATGAAGAAAACGAGCAATACAACCTGGCTTCTTTGATTTGATTCGAATCCACAGCGGTAATTGGCAAGGGATTTGAAGTCAACGACTCCTACCACTATGTCAGCGAAGTCATTAACTAAATGGCCCAGTATGCCTTAAAAATGCTTCAATTTTCATTTCTCAAAAGGTTTTTTTTATTTTCTAAGTACATGTACTTTTATAGTTTCAAAAATGTTGCTCATTGGGCAGTTACCTGAACAATCTGTATTTTGTCTTCTGTTTCTTTTTGGCAATTATACAGTTATAGTTATTTAGTTGTTTTTTTGTTTTTTTTTTGGAAGTAAAAATACTAATTTAAACATTTTCATATTTTTATGACACATAATTTCATAATAACAAGCAGGTAACAAGCATCTGATTTTTTCTAAAACCATTATTCAAAACATTTTAAAACTCATGATTGTCCTTGCTAAAAAGGAGAGAACAATCCTTTCTGAGGCATAATGTGCCTTTAAGAATAATGAGGATCAAACTTACACGTGTACATTTCGTTGTAATACTCGAACTGTTCATCAATATCTTTTATTGTCATCAATGCCTGAAATATAAAAAATATACACATATTTTTACTATCTTCTAAACTATGTTATTTTTGAGGCTTAAGCTATGTTTATAAAAAGAAAGGAAAATCAGTCTTAGGAATTTGTAAATTCTCCTAAATAACACTCAGCATTAGGATCCGACGACTACCATAATACGTTGTCACCTCGTCACCTTTAAAAGAACCAATCATCGGCGAGCTTTCATAAGTTTGAAAGTAATGTGGTTTATTTTGTTACCGCTGGAGAACCAATACTGAGTAGGTAATTTTCACGATGTCGATTGTCAATATGGCCGGCAGGTAAACTGGCAAAACAATCAAACCGTCCTTAACAGATAGGCATAAGACGGAGTTTTAAACTATCGTTTTCCGTAGAAGAAAAAAAAAACAATGTTGATTTTTGTTAGAAAAAAATGTTTGTAGTAAATGAAACAATTATAGACTCAATTTTTAATGGGCAAGAGTGTTTTGTCAGTTTACCTGCCGTCTATATCGACAACGCCATGTTTGTACTCAAATAGAAACAGAGAGTGTAATATTCGATAATGTAGAACGAATGTATATACATGTATTTGAAATCCAAAGGAAAATAAAGTCTGTTGCGGTACAATTATGATTGAAGATATGTGTGACAACCATTTTTAATCTAAATGAGCCGTGTCACGACAAAACCAACATAATGGGTTTGCGACCAGCATGGATCCAGACCAGCCTGCGCATCCGCGCAGTCTGGTCAGGATCCATGCTGTTCGCTATCAGTTTATTTACTTGTTATAGGGTCTGTAAGCGAACAGCATGGATCCTGATCAGACTGCGCGGATGCGCAGGCTGGTTTGGATCCATGCTGGTCGCAAATCCATTATGTTGGTTTTGTCGTGACACGGCTCAAATATGCTATGATGTACAATTTTAAACAAATGCCACTTAATGTCAACAGGTTGGCATTTTGTACTTTCAGTTTCTACATCCATAATGTTAAGAATATAAATAAAATATTATATAAGGTGGACCTTTACTTGATATATTGTAAAAAAAAACAACTTGTCATCAACTTCCCGCATTAGATTACTGTTTTGTTCATATGTTTAGTTTCTTAGCGTCGGTAACACCGAAATATCGTAACCGTTCTGTGTATTCGCATGTATTGTGTTCGAGGTCCTTATCCGAAGACTGACGGAAAATGCTGAAAAGTTGCGATTGTTACAAAAATTGTATATGCTCGCCGATGATTGGCTGTTTAAACAAGCAATTATCATAGTATTGCAAGCAATCCATAAGTCACCTACCGGTTAGAACCCCATCAACATTCTGAAGGGCCATTGGCCATTCACTTATGTTTCAATTTTTCTCTATTTTAAGTAAACTTGTTGGAAAAGTTCTTTAAAAGTGATCACAGGAAACAGTTTTTATGAACAGACAGACAGACGGACTGAAGGACACTCTAAAGTTAATATTTGAAACATCCCTGTTACCAAAATATAACATTTTAAAAGCAAAATTCATAAAGAGGAGATAACTCTTGAATTAAAGATGCAATTTCATAAAAATTTTCAGCTCTTTTTGACTAATCACAAATATTGTTATATTTGCCATGTTTTAAGCCTATTTGTTGCCAAGGCAACTGATATTTTTTCAAAATAGGAAGAACAGATAAAACATGCATAATCTCAACACTGCTATCTACCAATATGTCAAGTTTCATAAAAATATTTCCAGTACTTTTTGAGTTATCACTGGATTCAGTTTATGTGTAAAATTTGCCATATTTTCAGTCTATGTGTTGCCATAGCAACCAGAATTTTCAACATAGGAAGAAAAGAAAAAGACGTGCATAATTCCAAGACTGCCATCTACCCATATGTCAAGTTTCATAAAAATATTTCCAGTACTTTTTGCGTTATCACTGGATCCAGTTTATGTGTAAAATTTGCCATATTTTCAGCCTATTTGTTGCCATAGCAACCAGAATTTTCAGCCTAGGAAGAAAAGAAAAAGACGTGCATAATCTCCATACTGCCATCTATCCATATACCAAGTTTCATAAAAATATTTTCAGTACTTTTCAAGTTATCGCGGGATCCAGTTTTGTGGACGGACGGACTGACGGACTGACAGACAGACGGACGGACAGACGGACGGACGGAGGGTAAACCTAAAGTCCCCTCCGGTAAACCGGTAGGGGACTAAAAAGTCACGGGAAGGTGACCTCCTATTGTTGCCGGTTAGATCCTAATGCGTAGCGTTAATTATAAGCTGATTTTAATATAATTGAATTCAAGGGCTTTATCTGCAGACATAAAGTACCTAAGGATAGTTACATTATTTCATCACTTTAGATATTTAATCAAACTGAAAGTTTTATAAAGAAAAGCGCGACTTTCGAGACAAAGTGTTACTTTATGTAATTCGTATGAACTTACTCTTAAGTACTGGGACCCAAACATATGTCCTTCCAATAAACTGGGATCTGGATTACTCTCATAAGCTAAAAAGTCAGCAAACACTGAAAAAAAGACAGTTGTCGAATTAGATAACACTACAGTGTCGGAGCACTACCTCGAGACGCTTGTAAAATCATGATCACAAGTTAGAAATATATAGTTTTTTTCGTCGATTTTTACATTTTTCATTCATTATCATGTATAAATCGATGCGAGGAGATGAATTAGATATCTTAAAGAGCATTTCGGGGGGTGTGGACATATAATCATTCAAGCGCCTTGTCCGGTATATACCGGAATGCGGTATTAGTGTCACGCTTTGTGACGGTAAAGTAATAAATATGCTTATATAGTGACGAAAGCAACGTCTCTTGTATCAAACGATTATGATAAGAACCGAGTAATCAATTAAAGCGGCTTTCAGTTTTTCTAAAGGTTAAATATGTTATTTTTAGATAAATCTTTTCATATTATTGTCAAATGAAAAGAATTAAGGAGAAAACTTGAATTTGTCATTGATAAAATACTAATAATATGGAAACCCCTCGACACAATTCCCGATGTTCTATTTTTAGAAACGAACGTCACTGACGAGTTATAAATAGCTCTCGGGACGCTGTTAACAGTGATATGATGCACATTTTCATGATAAAATTATCTATATACTTAGTTCGAAACAACACTGAATTGCTTTCCCAAATAAAAATAAAAACTGCAGGTCGCTTTAAACAGGCATTGCTAACATTAATTTTTTTTATGGAAATGATATTTGCAAGAAAAAGCAGATTACCTCTGTCAGTTATCTTTTTTTAAGATACTTCTTATTTAAAAATGACCTGTATCATCAGAACAGAAAGTATTCTGCACTTCTCGTATATACTTCGAGTTAGAGGCCTCGTACATGTTCGTAGAGTACGAATACAAACCAACGCAATTCGCCCATGTTGTAAGGCAGTGTTCGTTCGCGAAAAAAAAAAGAGATAAAAAAATAACATATCCCTCCGTATTTCAGAGTATTACTCTTTGTGATAACTTATTGTACAGTTCATTGATAAATAGCAAATAAAAATATTATCAAAGTATGAAAAAATATATTCATACTTACGCTTTTCAATTTCTTGCTCCGTGGTTGTCATGTGTGTTACTATGATGAAAGTTATACTCTGTAACGAGAAATTTGAATTATTACACATTTAATAGATATGTTTATATATAGAAATACGCAACACATTCATTTCAGTATTAAGATTTCGCGTTTGTTGAAATATCACAATCTTATAATATATGCTCACATAGAAATAATAAAATTTTACAATGTTATTATAGTATATCACAAGAAAAGCATTGATGCAAAGCATCAAAGGGCGTCCAAGCAAGAAATGCAGCAAGTGAAGATGAACTAGTACACATATGATGACAAGATATTCTTATAAACTACCAGAAATGTATACCACTTATGAATGAGCGGACGAAAGACATTGTTCATTATGAACTTTGATTGGCATGCTAGAGATTAGAATATTACTTGTTATTTCTTTATGATCGTGGTTATTAATAGCAACGGATATACATGTATGCAATCATTTATAATCCATATGTGTAACGCATGATCAACACGTATCACACATTTGTCCCTTATTATGTACATGTTATCGCTATTAGCGAAGACCCCCTTAAGGTATCTGTTCACACTTTAAGTTAGTAAAAAATATGACACTGGTTATATTACCATGTTGATCATGTTGAGCATAATTGTTTATTATACAATAATTGTAATATCTATTAATTTTAATTTAAAAAAAATACAAATTTTATGAATATTGTTTTCTTTTATTCTTTTTTGTGTTTTATGTGCTATTTTAATACTGAGTTTTTACTACTCTTTTTTATTAAAATTGTAAAATAAATTTTAAGAATTCAATTGTCATATTGACCGACGATTATAAGTAAAAGCTTAACTGGAAAAAGTCAGTAAATTATGGTTTATCTTTCAATATATAATATTGTTTACTCTTAAACCATGTACATGTACATTGTATTTTTCTTTATCATTTTTTAAATTATCGATCAATTGAATAATTCATAAAATCTAATTTGTAACTTTGAATAATTCCTCGGCATCTTTACTAAACACGGATAACAAATTGAATAATTAAATAAAATGTTTCAAAGTTGATAATGTCATTTTAATACCATAAAAATGTACCTTTTTCTCAATTATTGTACATATCACGGATTTATATTACATATAAATCCGTGTACATATTTATTGTTTTTATCTCATATAGATAAAATGAAACATGCTATTGTTGTTTTTTTCCAATTGTAACGATATCAAACATCTACTCCAAAATCGGGAGAGACCGGACAATAAACGTGTGGTACTATTCGCCGGTCACTAGTAAATCCTGGTCAAAATAGACCGGGAGAGACCGGCATTTACCGATAGGAGTGATAAAAAGATATATCTATAAATAGGTTTTTGGAATATTTAGGTCATCAACTGATCATTCTAGGATACATGTACAACAATAACATACCATGACATGATAACCGACTGTGTACTACAAAATGATAAATAAAAAACCCCGAAGAGCGCGATTTATTGACGGAAAAGGTTATTTCATTTGTAAATGTTTGCATTGCGAAAATTCATTGTAACATATCTCGACATTTCATTCTTATTTAATAATCAAGCACCCTCATACCGATCGGAATTTTCGGCTTTTATTATGACCGACTAAAAGGCTCGAGAAGTTGCTGTCGCCCTTTCACAAAATCTGATCTCATTCCATAAGAGCGCCGCGCTTCGGCGCGGACGCCAACAAAGTCATAATATAATTTCACAAACTAACGATAAAACCTCACAATATTATTATTAAAAATCACAAAGTATTATGATTATAAAATCAAAGTAATGAAATTCAAAAAATAAACACCAAAAATGAAAGGAAAAATGATACTGAATATCTAGGTATGCAACATCTAAAACAAAGAAATAACAACAGTAGATGACCCTGTCCGATATACAAGAATAAGAAAACTAGGACAAGGAGTTTGTCATTTCGCACTTACGAACTCTCTCTATATGTATGTGTGGTATTTCGATAGAGCGGAGGTCAGTGCGTGAGCATGCGCTTTTCAATATCTCGTTTACACTGTCTCGCTAGCTGCCGCAACGTTTCTGGGGCTCTTCAGGCCAAGCTGAGCGTGCATGGGCGTGTTAAAGTTGCGGAGAATTTTGGCATTCAATTGTAAAGGCAGAAATCTTGCACACTGCAGTATTCCTGTTGTGTTATGTGTGTGTGAAAGCCGTTAAAACCGAAGTATTTTACTTACGTTAAAATAAGCCTCGACGCCATCCAGGGTTGCTTTGCACTCTTCACTCTGTTTACCACTGGCTAGACATTGCCCGGCAAACATAATTGCTAAAATATTTTTAAAAAATGTTAATTATCGTCATCACCATCGTCATCATCATCATCAATCGTCATCATTATCATCGTCATCAATCGTTATCTTCATCATCATCCTCATCATCATCATCATAAATCGTCATCATCATCATCATCATCAACATCATCATCATCAATCGTCATCATCATCATCAATTATAATCATCATTTATCGTCATCATCATCATAATCATCATCAATCGTCATCATCAATCGTAATCATCATCATCATCATCATCATCATCACAGTTATCATCATCATCATCAATCGTCATCATTATCATCAATCGTCATCATCATCAACAACATTATTTAGCATCGTTGTAGCAACAACTTTAATTGTTTCTTTTAAATACTTGAAAGATACTAGTAAAATATAAAAATTATAATAGATTAATATAATTAAAAGAGCGACACAGGTTTTTAAAAAAGAAATGTGTACAGTATGTACTCACCGTCGAATGCAAATGTTGATACTAAATCTGCAAAATACGATAGAAAGATTTTGTATTGGTTAGATATTTATTATTTAATTTTACAATCGAGACATCTAGGCTATTATCAAAATTAAAAAATATTATCCGAAGTTTGAGAGAAATAGCCGAGGAGTTTCGATTATTACTCATGAAACATCGTGCTATCGTTAGGTCACATAATTGCTGCTTTAGTTTGTCACTACTAGAGCCAGGTCCTGTAATCGGTTTTAAAAAAAAAGGGCGGGAAAATACCATTTTAATTTATCTCCCCTCGCGTGCCTTATTTATTGACGTCACATCATAACATCTTGTTTTAAAATAGTACACTGAGATATGAAAACAGCAGAGTTTTTTTGCATTCGGAACTGCCTCGGCTGTTATCTATATTATCTCCTTATCCGAAGACTGACGGAAAGGGCCGAGAAGTTGCGATTGGGTTATATGTTTTCCGTTGGGTACCTCCCTTGCTCAGAGGCTTTTTGTACCGGAAACGGACACGGATAGCAGATGGTACGTGAAATTACCGGAAGTCATGGTGAAAATAAACAACGTACGGCCGAAAAAGACATGATACTTACCGTCTGTAACTTCAGCCTTCTCCTGCAATAAAAATATATACGTTATTACAATTCATAAGCTCACAAAGATTAGTCATTTATTGAGTGATTCGCTTTACTCGAATAATGAACCTAATAGATTTTGTTTGTAATATCTTTATAAATAATGCTTTTTGGAACTAACGAAATTTTTAAATCTTAATTTGAGCATTTTAATGGCAAAAACGAAGACTTTCACGTGCTCACTAAATATATACTCTATGATGGGCATAATGTCACTTTAAGGTGCCGTCCGTTTGGCTCAATAGGTAGAGCTTTCGACTGTGAATCGGGCGAACCGGGTTCGATTCCCGGACGGCGCAGGTCACTTTCATTGTGATTGATCATGAAATCCTTTTTTACGGTCATTCACACTTGCATGTACAGAAGTTTCAATTCCTTGCGAAAGTGAATGCAACTAGTACTGGTAAAATGCTCGACATCCTGCCCAGGAACGATGCGGTGGTTGAACTGTCGTTATCCGGACTGAAACTACACCACACCACCACCACATGTCACTTTAAAATAATGATTATTACCTCCACTTGTTGCTTGCGTGCATTGCAATGTTTATCCATGTACTCAACCACACCCTCAACAAATGGTGGCACTGAAATAACAAACAAAATCAAATAAACGGCGCTTGAAAAATAGTTGATCTAAAATCCTCATGTAAATGTACAAATTTTCAAAACTGTTTTATTCGTTAACACGATTTACAATGTTTGACTTATTTTGTGCCTTTACGTCTTTTCAAAACAACGGTCATACCAAAGTGACACTGTTTAAAGACCCATTAAGTCACAGAAATGCTTTTATTTTTATTGCTCAAAAGCATTTCATTTTTGATGTGCTTTGGAAGTTTTGCAAAAGCAAATGATTTGCCAATTACCCGAATAATCTTTTTCTTCTGTTGCTTTATGGCAATTAGTACAGATTTTGTGATTTGGTATTTTGTTTATGGAAGCCAAAATACTTCTTTGTTTACATATTGCTAATTTACTAGTAAATAATTTCACAATGAGCACTACGAATGACGTCACCTCAGTGCTTTAACAGAATAAGTCCTTCTAAATTTTATAGAAGTTAATCAGTTCGTGCACTTATGTGACACTATGCTCATGCAATAAGCATCTAACATGCTTTAAAACCAATATTTATACGTTTTTAAACTAAAAGTTACCCATTTTAAAGAAATAGAAAATAATTTGTTTCTGAGGCACACTGTGCCTTTAAAGCAATGCTCTGAACTCGCACCGACCACATAAATGAAGAGGCTTTGACTTGCACCTATTATACATTACGTAAACATTATACCATAAGCTTAATGTTACACCACATGGTGTTACTACGATATTGCAATATTCCTCCCAGGGGCGAGTAATCTATATAGACTTAAGGAAACGTAATGGTCTAGTTCTCTCCCCTGGCCTTAATTAATGATGAATGGCTGGCATAGCCATGAAAAATGGTATTAATTAAAATGTTGGTTCGGTGTTATTTCGGTTTGCTCTACACTACACTATTGCACTGAGAGACATGTGTTATTTTTATAATGACTTGTAATAAAATAAAAATACACATGAAAAAAATGAATACAGTAACACTTGTACTACAATGTATCAACTATGATTCCTCTTTGCTCAAACTCCTGATAATGATTTTTGATTAGCTATGGCTCGTAAACTTCAAAATGGAGACTACTTAAACTACGCAAAAAGAGACTATTTCGGTTGAAAATGTCTTTCCTGTGGCAAAAACAAACGTTATTTCGGAATAATTGTGCTATAATACAAAAAAAAAATGGTTAGGGAGGTACAAATGTCTTGGATTATTTTTTTTTTCAAAATGATATTGCTTACATCCTTCCATCTGTCGAAGCTTTTCGCCAAGTCCATCTAGAGTTTCACCTGAAAAAAAATATGTGGAAAAGTGTGTTTATACCACGTGTTGTATAGTTAAAATAGTGCTTGCAAATAATATGCAACATTTTTTGTGTTTGTTCGCTTTTTAAGTGAATAAAGACATTAAACGGAAGGACATATTTATCATAAATTTATGTCACATTTTGTAATAAAGCTTTAAAAAAATAAAATAAAAGATGAAATGAAATCAAATCAAATATAATTAATGGTTACTGCACTAAGCGTAAGAGATAGTGGTCGCTGACCTTGTTAAAAATGCCATAAGGAGCACATCCCGGACTCCCAATCCGAATGTCTTCGGCTATTATCTAAAATAACATTATCCGAAGACTGACGGAAAGGGCCAAAAAGTTGCGATTGCCCGGGCTCATTGCCCTTTTCTTCTACTGGTACCAAGCTAGCTATCTTGTCTTATCATATCAAAGTCTACAGTTACACTATAACTTAAAGGTCCTGTATGTTTTGTGATTGATATTGTTACTGTGTGTATACCACACTTGCAAAAAATTATATATGTACATAATTATGCAAATAAAATAATTTCCAAACATCGAAGAATATGTAAAATAGTTACTGCAAATATTTGTGCACATTAGATTTAATCAATAAATTGCATGCATTCCTTTGTTATTGGAAAATTTGACTGAGAATTGATAGAAAATAAATTTCTAATTACCTCCCTTTATTCACATGAAATGTTAAATTGGGTTATATCTTTATAAATAATGCTTATTGGAACTTACAATATTGACAAATCTTAATTTGAGTATCATATTTATGAAATAAAACCATGAAAAAATTGTGTTACAGGATATTTAAACACCCAACGATAGTGCCATTACCAACAGTCTCCCATCGCAATGAATAAATCTTGACTTTTTCTTTTATGCTTTGTCTTAAGAGACCGTTGTATTAGGCGACCATTTTTGGCGTTTCTTTTTTGCGGTCGCTAAATACACGTTTGACTGTAGTATTATCCGTATTTAGCATAAGAACAAGAGTTTGTAGTACTTACACTTGTGTGCTTCCTTATATTTCGTGAATTCCTCATTTAACATTGGTCTCAGTTGAGGCTATATCAAATTGAATAAATTGTGGTTAATATATCTTAGAGAGTTGATACGAAACAAATTTATGATTCAAAACAGAACGAAAGATGACTAAAACAGATAAGAGATGACACAAAACAGGCAAAGAAATAACACAAAACATAATGATATAACAAAAAATTACACTAAACAGATGAGACTAACAAAAATGATAGACAGAATACACAAACAGACAAAGAGATAACACAAAATAGATAAAGAGATACTCAAATCAGAAAAAGAGATTACCACCAAACAGTTATGCAGACATCACAAAAAAGAGATAAAAAAAGAACACAAACAGATAGAAAGATGACATAAAACAGATAAAGTTGACACAAAATAGATGTAGAAATGACACATAACAAATAAAGAGATTACCACAACACAAATATGTACAAACACAAAACAGATAAAAATGACACAAAATAGATGTAGAAATGACACATAACAAATAAACAGATAGCGCAAAACAGATAGAGATGGCACAGCTTAAGAGATTGCACAAAACAGATAAAGAGATCACCCAAAATAGATAAAGAGATAACACAAAACCGTAAGTGACGACACAAAACCGATAAAGAGACGACACAAAAAGGATAAAGAGACGACACAAACGACACAAAACAGATAAAGAGATAACACAAAACAGATAAAGAGATAATAAAAAACATAAAACGATCACACAAAAAAGATATAGAGAGGACACAAAAAAGATAGAGAGATAGCACAAAACAGATAGAGAAAGGACAGAAAACATAGAGACCGACTATTTGTTCATTGATTGAGGTTAAATAGATTTTCATTCACAAATATATTCTAATATTGAATCATTTAAAAAGAGTACCATTTTCTCATAGAAATAAACACCTCGTCCGAATGACAAACAGGGGAAGAATGGCTCACCTGAAAGAATACACACAATACACAGTATTTAATAACAAGAAAAAAGCGAGTATTTGATAAATAAAAAAGAATATTTTCCTCAAGTTTTAAAAACAAAAAAAATATACATTTTTATCTCACGCTAGCGCTTGTTTTCCATGTTAAATAAAAAAATACGTAGCTATATTGAGCCGTGTCATGACAAAACCAAAATAATGGGTTTGCGACCAGCATTGATCCAGACCAGCCTGCGCATCTGTTCTGTCTGATCAGGGTCCATGCTGTTCGCTATCAGTTTCTCTACTTGTAATAGAGTTGATAAGCGAACAGCATGGATCCTGATCAGACTGCGCGGATGCGCAGGCTGGTCTGGATCCATGCTGGTCGCAAACCCATTATGTTGGTTTTGTCGTGACACAGCTCATTTTATCATACCAGCTTTCACTTCAAACGGTTTTTATGTTTTGGTATGTGATAAATAGAATACTAAATTTGAGTGAGTTGAACAAAATAATATTATGCGCATAATATAGATCTATTTTTTCAACTCGTTCAATAAATTCAGTATCAAAGTTACACTCATTCAATATCCTCTTTGTACTGTGTGCCAACTATATTGAGATTTATAAGTTATTAAAACATCTATCTGTACAATACAGCAATATATTTTGACGAGTCCACGCAAATTACCAAAATATAGGACAAAATATGCAAAAATAGCCCTTACTGCGTTAGTCATGCAGTAGAAATATGTTGATGAATACTGTAAAATCAATCATTAATCGCACATAACATGTAAACTATTAATTGAATCTTGAAACTTTTCACTTGTAAATTTTTATGAAGTTTGATTGTCCTGAAATATATTTGGCTCATCTTGAGGCATGCAATATTAACAGCAGTTTTGTTTTACCAACTTTTTTTATCTGTCATATATCATAAACATGAACAAGCTTTGATACAAATACAAACGCTTAACCCAATCCACTGAAATGATACACAATAATCAACTTACCCCCGTAAAGCATTTTGAATTCAGCATATTGTGCTTCGTTCCCTGTGACCAGAGTCCAGATGTCATCATCAACCTTGTTCATGAGATCCACGTCCGACAAGCAATCAAGAACATACAGCGCCGCTGCAATGAGATTATCATTTTGATCATTAAAGGCCCATTATGCCCCCGAAATGCTTTTATTTTTATTACTAAAAAGCTTTTTATGTCCTTCTATATGGTTTCCTTAAAAGTTAAAATGCATATTGACCAATTACCTGAACCATCGTTTGCTCTGTTTTTTTTTAGAATGACTTCTATCTTAGTGATTTAGAATTTTATATGGAAGTCAAAATTCTACTTTGTTTACATTTTTCTACCTATATGAAATAAAATTTCATATTCAGGGCTACCTTCTTTTTTGCCCTTTTCAAAGAATAAAAAATTTGTTCGTTACTTCAGCACTGTGTGCCTTTAAGTTACAAGTAGACATTGTTGAGTGTAAAACTGAATTTTATGACTGCACATTTAAAGAGATATACATGTACATATAATCTATATATAGCCTTTATATAATATAGATCAATCTTGAAGACATGAACATAAGCTTTCTCACCTGGAAATGAATACTGTTTTTTGCAATGTTTCTCAGGGGCGAGTAATCTATAAAGACTTAAGAAAACGTAATGTTCTAGTTCTCTCCCCTGGCCGCAGCCTACAGAGACACGTGTTATTTCTATAATATATCGCAGCTTAAAACACTTACCATGAAGTCCAACTGTCGAAAACGAACCGTCTTCTGAATCATCTGTAATGGGAATAGAAAACATTTAGAACTTTTAGGACTTTTGAGACTTATAGAAAGTCCTTATTCTAGATCATTATAGACGATGATATTACACCACTGTCTTAGTAAAATTAATGAAATCAAAGAGTCCCTCGGTACATATAAAATGATTTTAAGTCCTATAATTCTCAGGATTACTCAGATATTTGTAAAGGAATAGGGATTCCACTAGAGTGGGTGCTTTTTTTAAATGCAGATACTGAAATATTTTTTTGAAACTTGTGTACCATTTGATATAAGTCTAAACTAAAAGCTTTTGGGCTAATGCTTAAAAATTCCCTCAGTCCCATTTTCCAGAATAATCATTTATGTTATGCATAATGACCCCCCTCCCCCCTAAAAAATGAATAAATAAATAAATAAATAAATGAAAAGCGTTTTCCATTCGGACTAAACTAAAAGTGTTACAAAAATCGATTTTTAATTTATCTATCCATCTATCATCTTCTACAGATTTTTTTTCATTTAAAATGCATCACGTGATCCGGGAAAGAATTTCAAACTTCAGGTTTTCTGTCTTTTTATACCTCAGTTGAGCTCCTTTAAGCTTCGACAAGGCAACACACGTCATGAATCTACATTTAGCGAGACATATAGTACATGTTTTTCAAGATAACTTGTATAAGATTGTTAAGTAAGTTACAGTAACATAAGTGTAACAGTTTAATTGCTAAGTTACAGTTAAAAAAGATTCGAACGTTTTGATATTGGGTGGAGCCGGAAGTCCGCCATTTTAATTTCAAGAGAGCATAATATTTATACTACCAACAAATATAAGCGTGATAACTTTATATACAGGATTAATATATTACGCGAAAAATTCATTAAAATTCGAAAAATTTATTTGCATTATTATCAAATACAAATGTATAATAAAAAAACATCTCTTACCATCATCAAGTCCTTTCTTGTCTAGACTGGCTCGTCTTGCTTTCAATTCAGCCAAAATTCTACTCTGCAAACAGAATAAAATGCCCTATAAACATGATTCAACTCTTAGAGACTTATTTTGTGTAGCTTAATAGGATTTGTGAGCATACAACAAATAGTACTAATGAATGTACAGCTGTTATCATAACCCAAAGAGATTTGTGTATATACAGCTGCTGTAATCATAGCCCAATAAGATTGTAAATATCCAGCCGTTATCATAGCATAAGATGATTTGTGAGTATATAGCCGTTATCATAGCCCAAGATGATTTGTGAGTATATAGCCGTTATCATAGCCCGAGATGAGTTGTGAGTATATAGCCGTTATCATAGCCCAAGAACATTTGTGAATATACAGCCGTTATCATAGTCCAAGATGATTTGTGAATATACAGCCGTTATCATAGCCCAATATAATTTGCGAATATACAGCCGTTATCATAGTCTAAGATGATTTGTGAATATATAGTCTTTTATCATAGTTCAGTAAGATTTTAGAATATAGCTGTTTTTATACCTGCATCAATGCAATATTCCCCAAGGGAGACTAATCTATAAAGACTAAAAAAATGTAATGTTCTAGTTCTCTCCCCTGATAAAAAAAATCGACGATGAATGGCTGTCGGGAGTAAAAATGCAATGCGGGAAAGTGAGGGAAAATTGCATTAAAGGTTGGTTTCGTATTATAAAAAATGGATTATACCTTAATATATCCTTCAATGTAAAACTTCCATAGACCTGTTATGTGTCCTGATTGAATATCACCCTCCGAGGATATATTCCCCGGGGAATATTTCTAATATCACCCTGGGGCACATAACTTTTGCATAACTCCATATTTTATAAGTCTATTGTTTTGAGCACAATGAAATTGTAAAAATGATAATGTCTATTCTATTCATTTCCTTGACAGCGCACTTTATAAATATTGTAGTTGTAGGTCTTTCAGTACAATAAAATAAATAACACATGGCTATCAGGTATGATAGATGATATTTCCAACCCTTGAACTGGCATATTACCCCGGGTTGATATACAAGTTCTCGGGTTGAAAATATCCTCTATCACCCCGACAGCCATTTGCTGTTTATATAATAACGTCTGGCAGGGTAATAGTGCATATTTATGGTGGCTGATTTGGTACATTGTGCGTTGCGTTGTCGATAGCGACAAAGTAGCCTATATCGTTATCGCCTTTTCGTCTTGTCGCTAGCGACGACCCGACAAAGCGCCAAACGGCGCGATGTCCCGCTGTCGTCCTGTGTCCTGTCTCCAGCGGAAGCACGCCCAACGGCGCGTTGTCGTGTGACGTGTTGTCGCGATGTCGCCATGTCGCTTGGCTTATAAGCCAATTCTTCTATTTGAACCTAGCGTCAATGTGACATCGCGACAACACGCCGCACGACAATGCACCGTTTGGCGTACATCGTTAGCGACAGAACGACAAGTCCGACAAGGCGCCGTTTGGAGCTTTGTCCTGTTGTCGCTAGCGCCAACACAACGCACAAAAGTGTTCCAAATCAGCCACCATACATATAAGCAACCCTTGAATTGCCTCGGTTGTTAGTAACTTAGTAGCATTATTACCCTGACCGACGATTTCTTATCAGGGGAGAGAACTAAAACATTTACATTTTCTTAAGTATATAGATTACTCGCCCCTGCGGAATATTGCAAAGAGAGACATCCTAATATTTCCACAGTCAAAATTATATCTACATTCAATAATCTAATCTTATTGAATTCAGATTTTTAAAAAAAATCTTAAGAAAATGCATAAAGAAAAAAGAGAGTAAAATTTCAGATACAAAGGTATAATTGTATGACGTTAATAATTCATTTTATGAATGTATGTAATTTGATTCCATATTTAATCAGGGCAATATTTTAATCGTATGCAGATTTTAAGTTTAAGATTTCAACACTTTGAATAACGACCTGACGATGGAATAGATAGATAATCAATAGACCTGCGAATTACCTTGTACAATGTATATGGGTATATAAGTGCGTCTTTAGAAAACGCGCTAGACTATGGCACTTATAAAACGTATAGTTAACCGTTCGGCGTATTTGCTTTTTGATACATGATAGGATTATCCTCAAAAAGTAAATGAAAGTTGTATTTGCACATATCAGTTTTCATTTTGGCACTTAGTACAACAAAAAAGTCTTTGTATGTACTCGTATTTTCAAAATTTTAATTTTGTTTATCAAAAAAAAAAAATCATTTAAGTACAAGTTAATAAAATTATAAAATATATAATTGGGAATGCACGGTCACTTATGATGTCAAATAATTACTGTAAATTCCAAATTATATATCTATTTCTTCCTTTTACTTATTTTTATTACCTCCATTGCTGTATATTGAATTGAAGATTTCTGAATGGAAATAAAACTTTCTATTTCAAAAAAGTTTATCAACATATAGCGTAAGAGGGGGAAAACCCCTTTTATCATGGAGATTTTTAAATATTGTTTCAAGACAGACGGACGGACGAAAGAAAGACAAACTTATAGACCCATGCCGCTGAACCGGTTCGGTACTCAAAAAGTTTCGTAATGAAATTTCCATTTATTTCCCTTTTTTTCAAATAAATGTATTATAAATATATAAATTATGAAATAAAACATAAATAAATAAACTATTGCTAAAATGCTGTACTTTTATTGATAATCATCCAAATTTGCAAAATTGCCAAAAAATAAAAAAATAAAAAATAAAAAAATAAAAATAAAAATCGCACAATGATAGGTTGACAAAATAATCAAGTTCTTAATATAAACCAAAATACCAGACGTACCTTCGTCCTGGCGCTAAAGATTTTCTCTTCTTTCAAACTCCTTGCCTCGGTCAAGCAAACGACCGCCAATACACAAAGACATGCTACGATAACGGACCGCATTGTTCACTGTCGACTCCGAAGCTCTCCGAATGGGTTAATCAAGATGAACTGTTGGTAGAAACCGCCCGAATGACCTGAGCTATTACAGAATTTACCCGTACTTATATATACATCATCACGCTCTGTGATTTTAAATTATGGAACGCCGTGACTGTCTTATGTAATCAATGTTTTTGTTATCTTGTGAAACGATGATATTATTTTGTCGTTTGAGCATGTTAACGTGTGCAATTTACATCATGTCTTGTCAAAGGAACATGCTGACTTGTACAACAGCATGTTAACTTGTCAAATTATTATGATGACTTGTGCAAATGACATGGTAACTTGTCAAAGTATAATGTTGACTTGTGCAAATGACATGGTAACTTGTCAAAATGTAATGATGACTTGTACAAACGACATGTTAACTTGTGGAATTATTGTGATGACATGTGCAAACAGCATGTTAACTTGTCAAAGTATAATGATGACTTGTGCAAATGACATGGTAACTTGTCAAAGTGTCATGATGACTTGTGCAAAAGCCATGTTAACTTGCCGAATTATCGTGATGACATGTGCAAACAGCATGTTAACTTGTCAAAGTATCATGATGACTTGTGCAAACAGCATGTTAACATGCCAAATTACCATGATGACTTGTGAAGACAACATGTGAACTTGTCAAAGAATCGTGATGACTTGTGCAAATGACATGTTATCTTGTATCATGCTGACATGTCAAAACGCACTGTTAACTTGTCAAAATATTATGATAACTTGTGCAAATGCCATGCTAACATGTCAAAATTCCATGATGACATGTGTAAACAGCATGTTAACTTGTCGAATTATCGTTATGACATGTGCATACAGCATGTTAACTTGTCCAAGTATCATGATGACTTGTGCAAACGACATGTTAACTTGTCCAAGTATAATGATGACTTGTGCAAATGCCATGCTAACTTGTCAAAATTTCATGATGACATGTGCAAACAGTATGTTAACTTGTCAAATCATCGTGATAACATGTGCAAACAACATGCTAACTTGTCCAAGTATCATGCTGACTTGTGAAAGCGACATGTTAACTTGTCAAAATTTCATGATGACATGTGCAAACAGCATGTTAACTTGTCAAGGTATCATGATGACTTGTGCAAACTCCATTCTAACTTGTCAATGTATCATGATGACTTGTGCAAATGCCATGTGAACTTGTCAAATTATCATGATGACTTGTGCAGACAACATGTTAATTTGTCAAAGAATCGTGATGACTTGTGCAAAACACATGCTAACTTGTTAAGGTATTATGAGCATGTCATCACGATAACTCGACAAGTAAACATGCTGTTTGCACATGTCAGCATGAAATTTTGACAAGTTCACATGTTGTTTGCACAAGTCATCATGATATTTTGACAAGTTAACATGTCGTTTGCCCAAGTCATCATGATACTTTGACAAGTTAACCTGTTGTCTGCACATGTCATAATGATTATTTGACAAGTTAACATGCTGTTTGAACAAGTCAGCATTGTCTTTAGACAAGATATGATGTAAATTGCACATGTTAATATGCTTAAATGACAAAATAATATCATCATTTCACAAGATATCAAAAACATTGATATCATAAGACAGTCACGGCGTTCCATATTAAATTATAAAAAAGTGCCTTTCCAAAACTAGATCAATACGCCCAGGTACCCATTTAGTTGTCAACTCTTTTCAATGAGTGTAAATAAAAATAGGTTATTCAATGACCTTGAATTGAAAGAAAAAAATGTTTTCAGCACTTAAATTATTTTTTTTCTTTTCTTCTCTCTCAAATTACTTCATTTTGAAATATTTTTTTTTCAAAATCGTACATACATCAGAATAATTATAATCATTAGAGAGACCACTTTCCACCAAATGAAGAGGCGTCTGTGGCCGAGTGGATAAGGTCGTTGACTTCAAACCGCTTGCCCCTCACCGCTGTGGGTTCGAATCCCGACAGGGACTTTGGATTCTTTCATGTGAGGAAGCTTTCCAGCTAGCTTACGGAACGTCGGTGGTTCTACTCAGGTGCCCGTTCGTGCCAGAAATAATGCACGGAAGGGCACCTGAGGTCTTCCTCCACCAGTAAAAGCTGGAACGTCGCGATATGACATATATTGTGTCGATGTGACGTAAACCCCAAAACAAACAAACAAAACGTAAACCCCAAAACAAACAAACAAAGATCAACCAAATGACACCTTTTTTTTTCATTTAATAAGGTACGTTCTTATAAGTAGGGCCATAGCTACTGTATTTCATTCAGTTCTTAAAGACACTTTAAGCCTAAGAAATGAGCACATTTTTCTTCTGTGGAACGATTTAATATGCGTTTTGTAACGTTGTAATATTAGATTAAGAACATGACCTTGACTTCAAGATCGAATATTTAAAGGCCCTTTGTGCCCAAGAAATGCATTTAATGAAACTTTCATTTTTTGTGTCTAAAATGTTACTCATTTACCAATTTCCTGAACGTTCTTTTGCTTTTTTTTTCCTTTGGAAATAATTAGAGATATGGCATTTTTGCATTGTGTTTGGAAGTCAAAATACTACTTTTTTGCATTGTGCTACTTTTATAACAAATAATTTCACATCCAGCTCCACTTTCTTCATGTTAAAACCATCTTACATTCTCTTAATCCATTTTAATATTGTTAAACATTTCTAAAGAATTAAAATATTATTTATTCTTGAGGCATAATGTGCCTTTAAAATCCATGCAAGCTTACTAGTGTTTTGAAAAAGAAAACAGTGTAAAAAAGAATCATTTCTTCATTGACGCTTACATTTATTGCGTCTTTATACCTAAAATGACGTTACGTCAAAATATGTGCACGTCCGTGCAATACCATTTATATACGGAGTTATAAAACTCGGCACGGGTGTGTTATAAATAGAGGATATTGAATTAGTGTAAGTTAAATACTGAATTAAATTTTATTGCACGAGTTGAATAAAATTATATTATGCGAGCCTCTGGCGAGCATAATATTATTTTATTCAACGAGTGCAATAAATTCAGTATTGAACTTACACGAATTTAATATTCTATTCATCACATACCCAAAATAAAGACCTTTTTAAGTGAAAAAAGGGTCATTTTTCATTGACGCGCCTATAGTATAACGCTAACATTTAGCGCGTCTTTACACAATGTTTGTATAACGCTATAATGACGTCACGTCAAAATATATGCACGGCCGTGCAAAACCATATTTACGGAGTCGGCACGGGTGTTTGATAAAACATTTTTGAAAATGATTGAAAATCAAATCAATAGCATTCATTACATAAACATTGGCTTTAAAGCCGCATGCCTCAAGATGAAAGAAAATAAATCTTGAGAAAATGTACTGAGATTTTAAGAAAAGTAAAACATTTAAAGATTCAAGAAATGAGGTACATGTTATGTGCCGTTAATGCCTGCTTTTTGTGATTTTGTAATATTTATCCCCATATTTCAAATTCAAATTCTTTATTTCTCTCAGTGCATCATACATGATACAAACATAAAGTATATAAACAATGAGCATTTTGTAAAAACAGCAGTACGTATACATAGCAAGTCATTTACAGAGAACAATCACAATATATGAAAATAGATTAACCATCTATTGTTTGTTTTTATTTTCTTTTTTTTATTTCAGAAGGGAAGTAATTGATTTAGTGTAATGATTCTGCAGCATAATTAATATGTAAAAATACTTTTTTTCAATGAAAAGCTAATATCTAAATTATACATGTATTTGACCACGTGCTATTTATTGTCTGAAATTAACATAAAATGATGTCTATTTCATGCACCTGTCATGCATAATATCGGGCAAACGACAGTCTTTGTTTTTATAAGAAGTGCAGAGAAGTTTTGTGTCGACTGAATTTAAACACATTTTTGCGGGGTTTTTTTTCACGGGCCTTAAGTTACGTGGTCTCACGTGGTGGTCTCACGTGGTGTTTTAGTAAAGTGTTTATGGATTTATTTCTATTGGAATTAAGCAGTGTTCTAAAGTTTGGATTATTAAAGTGATTTTGGATACAGTTCACTATGCAATTTGGTGCAATGGCTGGATATACCGAAAGCTAGTGTTGCAGTGCTGTTGTCATTAAGGAAAATGTAAGTGTTGACATTTATTTGTAAATGCTTGTTTAATTGTTTCCTTTTGTTAGTTTTCGTTTTGTTTTCTTTAAATTGGACGTTTTTGAGCTGGTAGTGGTACCGATTCGATGTCTAATTAAAACTGCGTCAACTGCGGTGGATGTGCCGTTTGCAATATGTAAATTACTTTCTTTGCTCACTCTGTGCTGTACATTTTCAAAATTTCATCAAAATTAGCATGAATCTGTACTTCTGTAGGCACGCAGCTTTAACATAAGTTTATTTTATACATTAACAAAAAAATGTTGTCATACTTTCTAACATATAGATATTCGTATCTGGGTTCAAAATGAATGACATATCTACTCGCATTATGTACCATTCTTAATAGATCTAAATTCTAAATAGATCACAATTTGCATAAAAAACTGTTCTAATGTTATTCATAAATGAGATCAGTTTTATTGAAAAGCCGAGGTAAGACGCTTTCAAACGTTTCAAACGCCTTTTAAGGGTTGTCCCAAAAGTACGACAGTTTTTCCGAACATAAAAATTTATATGAGCCGCGTCACGACAAAACCAACATAATGGGTTTGCGACCAGCATCCGCGCAGTCTGATCAGGATCCATAAACCCTATAACAAGTAGAGAAACTAATAGCGAACAGCATGGATCCTGATCAGACTGCGCCGATGCGCAGGCTGGTCGGGATCCATGCTGGTCGCAAACCCATTATGTTGGTTTTGTCGTGACGCGGCTTATATGTACAGTCAAACCTGTGAACAGAGGTCACCCCCAGGAGAGACCAACCATGACCTTTGTAGACAATTGGTCTCTATTTGGAGGTTATTATGTTCTATTTAATTAATAAAGGGTTGTTGATGACTGGTCTTTATTAAGAGGATGGTCTTTATTAGGATGTGGTCTTTATTTTAACACATGTTTAACTGTAATAATTAATTGTTACTGATTATTATTGCTAAATAAAACAAAAATCT